GCACTTGAAGGTTGCCCGTTCACTTACGTTTTAACAGGTCTGATGCTACTATGTGCCCCGGCTGTATCTAGGCTAACGGCTAACATGCTAACTATTATTTTTATGTCACTAGTCACTTGAAACAAATTTAGGACAATAGGAGACAGGTTGAAATAAACCGAAATTTCCCTTTAAATCTAAATATTAAATATTACACCTAAATGTTAAATCTAAATGCTAAATCTAAATATTAAATATTACACCTAAATGTTAAATCTAAATGTTAAATCTAAATGCTAAATCTAAATATTAAATATTACACCTAAATGTTAAATCTAAATGCTTAAACTAAATGTTAAATCTAAATATTAAATCTAAATGTTAAATCTAAATGCTAAAACTAAATGTTTAATCTAAATATTAAATCTAAATAATAAATCTGAATGAAATCTAAATAATAAATCTAAATGTTACATCTAAATAATAAATCTAAATAATAAATCTAAATGTTAAATCTAAATCTAAATGTTAAATCTAAATGCTAAATCTAAATATTAAATCTAAATGTCAACTCTAAATCTAAATATTACATCTAAATATTAAATCTAAATAATAAATCTAAATGTTAAATTTCCCCCAATAAGTTGGTTTGAATTCGTTTTTTTTATATACTTTAAACACAGTCTGACCATCTCAAGCTTTTATTTTGGTACTTCCAGTGACCGGCAATGTGGATTTTCATATTAGCTAAATATTTAGTTTCACCCCGAACATTTAGATTTAACATTTAACATTTAGGTATAACATTTAATATTTAGATTTAACTATTTAATATATTTCTAAGTTCACAAATATTGCTGTAAATGTGGTAAAAAAAATTTAAACACTGTTTGAAGCTAAATGTGGCAAAATGTTGATGTTATTTTGAGTGTGAGCAACTTTACAAACGGCACCCCATACTACCAAATCTATTTACACACACACAAAAACAAAAAAAATCACAATACACAACAACACACAAATTATAAATAAAATACAGATCTGGTGCAGACAAGTTACCCAAACGCCGTCTAAACAGGTGTGTCTTCAGCTGGCTCTTTCAAGAGGCAACAGACAGCATCTTTTCCTAAATATATCATGATGAAAATAATGTGGGTTGCACAGGGTAGTGGCCACAGTACAATCAGACAATCAGCGTTTACATAGGTTACTTAGTGGCTTTGCAATCTTTGCAATACGCTTCTGCCACCGGGGGCGAAATTTCACGGAAAAAATCTGCTTTACGGCAGGAAACGCGTCATGTATTGTGAAACTGGTCGGTTATCCAATCAGGGACTGGAGCTGGTCCTTATGAGGAGTTGGGCATGAGATAGTTGAGTCACGAGCACAATGGCAGACGGACAAAGTTTGGAGACAAGTGAAAAACGGCCTAGCAAACGAAAAGGAGCTCTTCTGTGTGAGGAGGCAAAGAAGAGCAAAAAGGAGAGTGATAAAAGAAGAGGAAAAACAAGAGTAAACCTCAGTCAGGCGTTCAAGAGATGGAGGGAGCTCCGTGACCAAAGAGGCTTCAAAACCCATGTCCAGCTAGCTTTCTTTCTAATGGATCAGTAAGTAACACGGCTAAATGTTAGCTAGACCAGAGAGGACTGTACTGTACTGGCTGCTAGTTCATTCCTAGCTGGCCAGCATCGCAAATCGCCGCAACCAGGGAGCGGGTAGCGAGCGTTGCTCGGCTGACATCCTGGTTGCCATTCTACGGCAGCCCTCGGACAGTGATAGCAAACCCTCTTTAAAGAGGCAACAGAGTCAGCTATAAATAAGGGGGCAGGCAGAGAATTCTTGAATTTAGATGCTATGGTCACAAAAGCTCGATCACCACGTGTCGGAAGGCTAGAGCAAGAGCAAGTGTGTTTTCCACTCTACCTGCCAGCCCCTCCCACCTGATCACCCCACTCCTCTCACCTGCCTCCACAGCTGCAGCTCATCTCCAATCAGCCAGGTATGTAATCCTCTCCAGCACACACACTCTTTGCCAGATTGTACTTCACCCACATGCAAGACTTTCCAGCACTCCTTACCTGCCTGATCTAAGGTTGCCAACCCTGCCTGCCTCTGACCTGCCTGCATTGTTTGTTTCCCGGTAAACTTACCAGCCTTCTGTCTCTGACCACGAGTTCTGCCTCAGCACCTCTGGTTTCCGTCTGCCTGTGGCTGACGACGTTTCAGCATGAGTGTTTCCACCTGCTCGCCAGAGACTGTCTGTGAGATGCAACATGCTGCCTTGTATGTGTGGTCTCCTTTCACTGGCCTGTCAGCTCCTCAATCCTTCGCCTGGCTTCTGCTTACTTCCTGCTCCTCCCTCGTCGGCTCGTCTGCCTGTCCTGTCAGCTCACCTGGTCTCAACTTCTCCACCTGGTCCCGACTTCCCTGCTGCTCGTCCCTCGTCAGCTCTGCTGCTTTGCTGGACTGCTTTTCTAGTTCCAGACCCTTGCCTTCTCGACCACGGCATCAGTAAGCCCCTGTCTGTCACCTTTGCCTGCTAGCAGACTGAGCTGTTTGGGTCTGAGGACTCACCACCTCATTCTCAGTCCTGCCTCCGGGGTTCGGCCCAGTCCGTTCCCTGGCCCCTGAACCCAGAGACTGTGTGTGGGCTCTGAGCCCAAAGAACGAACTGTTCTCTGAATATCTTCATCAGCTCAAGTTCTTGTTAACTTTGTGTATAAATAAAGGTCATTACCAAACGTTGCTCTGTGTGCTGCATCAGGGTCCAACACATACCCGTTACAGGAAGTAAGAATGAGAATTTTGAACATTATCCTGTAAACAACAGGGAGCTAGTGAAGGGATTTTAGTAGAGGTAATGTGAGAGCGTCTATCTGATCTGCTTAGTAGTCTTGCAGCAGCATTCTGGATTGCTTGCAGTCGAGCAAGAGCAGACATACTCAGTGAGGAGAAAAGTACATTACAGTAGACAATGTGAGATGAGATACGGACATGTGAAATCATCTCCAGTTCAGCGGTCGAAACAACAGACCTCAGTTTACTGATATTTCTCAAATGGAAAAACAAGATTTGCTCAGCTGCTTCATGTGGGCATCAAATGACACTGATAAAATATTACCCTAAATTACGCAGGTTTGAGTGAGCAGCAGAGCAAAGAGGCCCAATACTTTGCATAATAACGGGGACAACCATTTCTGGAGCAACAACCAGAACCTTCATCTGATCAGCATTAAGCCGTTAAAAAGATTTCAGCAGTCTGGACCCTGATCTCATGAAGGCAGTCAAGGAGCCAAGATAACCTGAAAGGTTCTCTAGGTTTGACTGAGAAGTGGAGCTGGATATCATCTGCATATAAATGATGTGCAATTTTATATCTGGTTATTATTTGTCTCAGTGGCAGCAAACATAGAGAGACTAACAGAGGCCCAAGAACGGTGCCTTGCGGGACACCACAGGACAGTGGAGAGGAATCAGATACAAAGTCACCAACAGAAACGGAGAAACTCCTGCCGGAGAGATATCAAGCAAACCAGTCTAATGCTTTGTGCCAACGCAATTGCCCCAGCTGTTAATGTGTCAAACATACAAAACAGTCACCTCCATCAGAGGACATTAAAATATCATTTGAAACTCTCAGAAGTACAGTCTCAGTAGAGTGCTGTTTCCTAAATCCTGACTGAAAATTGTTGTAAATATCGTGTCTCTCCAACACAGCTGTGAGCTCAATGGCAGCCACCTTCTCTCAGTGGTAGTTTAAATTTGGGTCTATGGTTCTTGGGCAGAGCAGGATCTCAGTTAGTTTTCTTCAGTATTGGCTAAATAGTAACATGCTTAAAATAGGAAGGGACACATCCTGTAGACAAGGAGGAGTTAACAATAGTTAGCACAGTGGGGCTAAGTATTGACAAACAATTGTCAGAGTGAGACCAGGTTGCTTTGTGATGTTTGCTCTATAACTGAACTTAATTAGCTACTTACTTTTGCCGCACTGCAAAATTCATGTTGAAGCTCAATAAGCTGTTCCTGTGCTCCTACAGATTAAATGTACTCTGCAGAGTTTGTTCTCGGGCATTTTTATTGCTAACTGTTTCACACTGACTGTGTTTATCTGCACAGAATATTCAGGTTTTTGCTCTTATTACAAAAAAGACAATGTTCCTACTAAGCTGTTTATATGGCTAATAAAAATTTCTATTCTACTAATATTCCTCTTAACATTCAGCCATGCAAGCATTGATTAACATGTCCTAATATGTCATTTATCATGTCAACTGGTCACTCTCACATACAGAGTTAGTAATCTTTCGCTAACTCGACTTTGCTGCTCTTCGTTGGTGGTTTGGTTACAGAGGTAGGTTGGGGTGGCGGCTGAGTCACAGAACACTTCAGCAACATTGGTATGTGTGAAACAAAAAACATTAATATACAGATATGTCTTTCTTTCCTCACAGATCCTTTCAGTAAAGTTTCTCTGATCTCAGCCCATCACATCCTGTGTCTGCACACATTTCAAATCAAAATACTTTTCTACTTGCTGTTTAATTTTATAAGCGTATGTCTCTCAGGTCTTATTCATGAAGACGAACATGTCACTTGTATCGTTCACTCTTCGTCTGTGTGCTGTTTTCTGGCTCTTTCTCGTCACTGAGCTGCAGCAGCTGCATAAAAATTAAATGTCTTTAATCTTAGTTTATTCAAATGTTGTTCGTCTGAAACAGGTTTGTTTGTTTCTCCTCAGCAGTTATAATGTGAATTTACCCTCAGGTCTGATTTTATTATCTGATCTGTGATCAGTGTGACATTCAGGAGGAAAACAACTAATTAAAAACTAAATGATTTCTCTTGTGGTTGCCATGGCGTCTCCTGTGTCTTTATTAACCTTCATTAACAGTTATTTTACTGGTGAATCTCCCCCTCAGCTGTTAAATGAGCAGCTCCAATAAAAACCTGCAGCTCTTCGTCCTGATGAAGATTTTTATTTCCTCTCCTCCTCCTCCGTCAGCAGACACCAGCGAGCGTTTGTCTCAAACTGATTTTATTCAAACCCACAATTAAAAATAGTTTCATCAAGTTTACATTCAGAAAGAATCAGCTCAGAAAAATCTAAACAATTCATCCAAACTAATCATCGATAGTCGGATCCATACAGTGTCTGTACAGCGTCTGCAGGAAGTGTGGTGATGAAGATGGAGGGGAGGATGAGGATGATGGGGCTCTCAGCAGGAAGTGAAGGTCTTCCAGAAGAAGTTCTTGCAGCCAGCTTTCCTCTCTCGGGGGGCGAGCAGTGGCCCGCTGCCGGCGGCGGCGGCTCGTTCCAGATCTACATGGACGTCTTCAGGTTCTCCTTCAGCCAGAGGGAAGTTCTCCTCCTCAAGGGCCTCGTTCTCCACCTGCAGGAGGTCAGAGAGGAGCAGCTCCGCCAGCGAGGCCCGAGACATGTCCTGAAATGTGAATACGACAAAATTATTTATAACTATAAAGTCAGAGAAGCTCAAGACATGTCCTTGAATACCAAAATACAAATATTATTAACAACCATAAAGCAGGAGAAGCCAGTGATCTGTGCTAAAATACATAATCACAAAATTATTAATAACTGTAAAACCAAGAAGGACTGAGACATGTCCTAAAATACAAAAACAGAAATATTAAAGACAAAAATGGGCAAGGACGGAAACAAAGACGTCCTGCAGGAAAACATAAAATATTCATATCAACTGTTAATATTTTAAAATTTTATATAAAACCCAGGGAGATAGAAACATGTCCTAAAATATGACAAGGACAAATATGACTATTAAAACAAATCCATTAAAGATTCCAAATAAATAAATAAAAATAAAAATGGGGAGGAGACACCCTGCAAGAAAACATAAAATATTAATAATGATAAAAACCACAGAGACTGAAAAATGTCCTAAAAGAAACAACAAAAATATGACAAACAATAAACACCAAGGAGAAACTTGATTCACTCTCAGAAAACAACAACTGGTACAACAGGAGTGAAAAGTGTCCTGATAGGCGTAAATAATAATGATGTTGATAAACAGCAGTGAGGTTACATGTTTTCCTTTGTTTTAATTCCATATATAAATTCCGAGTTTTCACTCTGTGCTGCTGGTTTATGGTTTTATTGGAGACTGCAGACCAAAAAACCGACCGCACAGGTTGTTGGTGAAAGCAGCGTATTACAACCCATAATTATGTCTATTGTTAGGTGGCGACCTCTAGTGGCCGTGGTACTGACAGGAGCAAAGGAGGGAGTCAGGTGATAAAGTATAAACAGCAATTTGGGGACCGATGGGTCAAACAAATACAGGACTTTGACCCAGGAGATGGCTGTTTGTGTCCACTGTGAAACCAAAAGTCAATGCTGAGTTATTTCGACTTGAGTACGAGTAAAGCTGGGTGATTTATGAACTTATAAAAGCTTATTTGATCTAAAACAGTGGTTCTTTTACAAAACATGACCAGGTAGTTCTGCTGCTTGAACTCAACCTAACCTGTCGGGGTGCTGATTTAGGAAACGTTCCTGTGGGTAATAATTGCAGGTTGGAACAAATGATTTATGAGGACTTGTTGGTTTATTGTCTGTTTCGAGGTTTTCATGATGAACTAGTCATGCACAGCCAGACGCATCACCACAGCGCTGTGTCAGCACCACAGAAATGTCTGGAATCACCAAATATCTGTCGGCTGTAGGGGAAAACAAACCCTCTAGTGGTTGGGTTTAGGACAAAAGAACAGGGTTTGGCTTTACAGTCTTACAGGAAGTGAACACCAGCCCATTAACCACCCCTCCCACCAGCCCTACTCAGACTTCAGCCACCTCAACTTTCCTTGTTGTCCCGTTGAGTTTCCTTGAAGCCATCAGGCAGTTCTTAAAACCCAACGCTTGGTCAGTGACTTCCTCAGACACCAACAAAAAAAGCCGTCCTTTCACGTCGGCATGATACGCAGCCGGTCGCTGTTATATTGGAACTTCACACTGGAACACCTGGCAGCATCAGAGGGAAACATGGTAGGACAACAAAAAAAGTTAAGGAGGCAGAAGTCCGAGTAGGGCTGTAGGGAGGGGTGGTGCAGGGGTCCAACAACCACTGACTTTCACCCAGGAGGCTGGTGTTCACTTCCTGTAAGACTGTAAAGCCAAACCCTGTTCTTTTGTCCTAAACCCAACTGTGTGTGTTGAAGGAAAAGAAAACGTCATGTCGTGGTGTTGTGCTGACGTAGTGCTTTTATTTTGAAAGAAACTGTATGCAAACTGTACATTTCCAGTGTGATTTGAAACAGACAATGCATATAACAGAACATCAACAACCAGCACACCCAGGGTACCTCACACATCGTATCTCGACATGGAAAGCCCACGACCAAATGTTGATATGTGACGAGGTCGCAGTGAGGACGTGTCGGTAAAGAAGGGCTGTATTTGGCAGTTTACATTCACTGAAGAAGCTCAAGGAAAAGTCAGTAAGTGAACCTTTAGTTTTGGATGTTTGATCACAGATGTGTGAGAATGAACGACTTAAATATTGTGTTCATCTTTTAAAAATCATTCTCACCTGAAAACCATCAGACTGATTTCAGAGTGAGCGTCTCAGAGACAACAGGCTGCTGACGAGGAGCGCTTTCATCTAACAGAAGCTGGTGAGTGCAACTTGAGTAATTCTATTTTGATTAACTGTTTGATTGAAAAGATGGAAGTTGTTTAAGACGGACTGTGACATGAAGTCTGTGGTGTGACTCTGAGACTCGGCCATAAAAGACGAGTCAGCGTGGCGTCTGTGGATCTGAGGATCCTGCAGAGATAAAGATTTAACCGTCAGACTTCTGTCAGTCGTCCATCAGCGGGGGACATCACACGCTTCGTCTCCAAAGACATGAAGGCTGTGTGACATTTATCAGAACTGCACACTGTAAAAAATCTACATGTCATCAGGTCATTTCTGTCCAATTAAAACAGGTTTTTTATGCACTGGTCAGTTTGGAGTTGTTTTGCTTCTGTAACACGTCGTCTTTCAGACTAATGAGAAAACATCAAAGATATTAATTCAGGTTTATTAAGATTTCTGCTCTGGTAATGTATGCAACAAGCACATATTTAATTAGATAAAGCCTCATTTGTGTATTTCAACATAATCGCCGACACAAAGAGTAATGATCTTGCTGTAATCAACTGAGAGAGTTTCATGGTGATGTCTGTTCCTGTCTCATTTTTACAGTTTTAAAACATTTAGGTGTTTTTGAGGCCGTTTTCTCAAGTTTTCATTCAAACTCTGAGACAAAGATTTCCACTTCAGATATAATAAATGGATAATGCCGCATTGCAAAGAATAATTATCTCACTGCAGGCAACCAGCCGGGGAAGTTTAACCCTCTTCACCAGGAGCATCTCCACTTTAATCAGATTTTTTTTTATTAAAGACACGAACGAAGATATTCAGAGTGAAGCGACGGATTTGAAGACGTCATCTTGAACTGAATGTCTTTAATGTTTTCTAGACCAAACAATTAATTCATTGATGACATTTTTTGATAGAAGTTTAAATTAACTATTATTTTTAATGGATCAAGTGGCACAAAGGTGAACAAATAAAAAAGATAATAAAAAAGAAAGAAAGAAATATTTGCAACTTTTTGAGATAATTTTCACATTATCATCAAGACAATAACAATACTTAATTTTATTTACAAAATTTCAAATGAACATCAGTCTAATTAAAAACTGTATATATATATATATATATATATATATATATATATATATATATTTACTTTTTTCAGTGACTGACTGCATGCTTTACAGTAAACACATATTGTGTTTCTGTGACTTTATGAACACAATATTTAATCACATGCTGCCCAGACTAAGTCGTCTTCAGTCTGCTCACTTCCTTTTTTTTAGATCAGGAGGACGCTGAGATTTTAATTTCCTTTATTTAACCTTTGTAATTTGTTTTTATTTGATGATTTAAATCTAAATATATGAAGTGTTTTTTTTTCTCTAAATGATTTATTCTGTTGAAGCACATGATCAATTTATCTACTGATTATTCTAAAATGTATTCATTAACTTTTTAGTGTCCCTGATCTCCAAAATAAAGATTTATCCTCCTATCTCCTCATGAGAGCATATGAATCTTGTTGGATATAAATATTTTGATTTTATTTCACTTCACACTGACTGATTTAATTCTGTAATTCTGTTCTGTGATACACATTTCTGTCTAAAAAATTATTATGAAATTATATTTAATTCGTTTTTATTAGTTATTAATTTTTGTATTTGCAGTTTAAATTCAAAACTTTATTTTTAACCATTTAATAATATGGACTGAAGTTTGAGTTCAATTAACTGATTTAAATTCCTGATATTTCTGTTTAATTTTGAATATTTTTGACTTGATTGTGACTTTTTTTTATGGTTCAACAAATATTTAATAAATTAATAAATTCAGATCAGCAGACTGAGCGGAGACAGGTCCAGATATAAAACAAATCTTTCTGAAAATGTTTTAACGATTAATTTATAAAAGTTTCGTTAAAGGAATGTCCTTCTGTGTGTGTGTGTGTGTGTGTGCGCGTGTGTGCGCGCGCGCGCGCGCGTGTGTGCGTGCGTGTCGTTCGGACCTGTTTGGAGCCCAGCAGCGGGGTCCGGTGCAGCAGCAGGCGGAGTTTGGGGTCTCTCTGGGCGGCGGAGGAGCAGCTGATGGAGGCGGTGAGGGAGAGGAGGAGCAGGAGGAGGCAGCGGAGGCGCGAGGAGGACACCATCTTCATCACCTGTCTGCCGGTCGGTCTGTCAGTCTGTGTGCGGGTCGGGAGGATTTTCTGAGTCTGTCCCGTCGGAGCGGCTCTTATACAGCCCGCTGACGTCACTGATCACCGTCGGTAGGGATGGGAGGGGGGGTGACTGATGATGATGATGATGGTGATGATAGTGATGATGTTTCCACCGCCTCCCGCTTTAGTGAAATGATCCGTTTTTCAGACACTTCTTTCCTTCCTGCTGCTCAGTTGACAGAGTTTCTCAGCAGGAGGCTTGCGGGCCCTCAGAGGGACGCAGAGCGGACACGCCGGTCGCCGCAGCGACTGATGACTGCTGGTTCAGTGTTTTCATTTTATCACAGATGTTACTGATCTCTGAATTCACCGTGTTCAACATGAGCTAAGAATTCAAATCCACACAAGGCGTCACGTCGAGTGTTGGAGTGCGAAAAATTGACCATTCCGAAATTCAGAGTGCCGTTGGTTATCCAGAGCGCTCAGTCAACACTGTCTCACTGTGACCTCGTCACCATTTGATCATTTGGTCATGGACTTTCCACGTCCGCACAGACGTCCAAGGTACCCTGGGTGTGTTGTATGTTGACCTGGGACGCCGTGTCAAGTTCAAGTGTCACGATACACTTCTGTTTTCACAGGAAATTTGTTTTCACAGTTTGCTTACAGTCTTTTTTCAAAATAAAAGCACTGCGAACCTCGGTATAACACCGCAGACTGACCTTTTTTTTTTCTTTTTCTTTTTCCAAACACACGTGGTTACGTTTAAGCAAAAAAGAAAAAAAGTCAGGTGAAAGTCAGTGGTTGTTGGAGCTCTGATGAAAAAACATTTTTTAAGCAGTGTTTAACATGCGTGCTTTAGGCGGTAATATGTCAGGCTGTCCTCAGGAACTGTTAATACATTTTCCTACAAAAGCAATGCGCCCACATTTGTACACATCCCACATATTTTGAAAGGCTGTGATCATGTGACCAGTGTGCTGATGGGAGTAAACAGAGGTCCCAACCGGTCTGGTAAGGAGGCAGGTTGGGGTGGTTATCTGACCTTCTCCTGGAGACGCGTTCAGAACCTGAACTTTCAGTCATTTTAAGGTACGTCCTCGCCCCACCAGGTCTCATTCCGAAGTCGTCAAATATTAACACTTGGGCAGTGATTTCTGCGTCAGACACCAGCGAAAAAACCCTGTTCTGTTTTCCTAAATGTAATCACATGCATTTGTCGATAAAAGAAAGAAGCATCAATTCACGATGTTGTACCAACGTTTATTTTGAAAGAGACTGTATGCAAACTGTGCATTTCCTGTGAAAACAGAAGTGTATTTTGAAAACAGACAATGCATGTAACAGGCTGAAGTTGAGACGGCGTTCCAGAATGTCAACAACCAACACACCTCGTCACCTCATAACCAAGCGACCTCGTCACATGTCCACGTTTGGTCATGGACTTTCCACGTCCACATATGACGTCCAAGGTACCCTGGGTGTGTTGGTTGTTGACGTTCTGGGACGCCGTGTCAACTTCAGCCTGTTACATGCATTGTCTGTTTTTCAAAATACACTTCTGTTTTCCATGGTCCTCAGCCGGAAAAGGGTGGATTGCCCACTCCAGGTCGGGGGGGGGAGGTCCTGCCTCAGGTGGAGGAGTTTAAGTATCTCGGGGTCTTGTTCACGAGTGAGGGTAGGGTGGAGCGGGAGATTGACAGGCGGATTGGGGCGGCGTCAGCAGTGATGCGGACGCTTAACCAGTCCGTTGTGGTGAAAAGGGAACTTCCTTGGGAGGTGTTTCGGGCATGTCCAACCGGGAGGAGACCTCGGGGCCGCCCCAGGACACGCTGGAGGGATTACATCACCCGGCTGGCCTGGGAACGCCTCGGGGTTCCCTCGGAAGAGCTGACGGAGGTGGCTGGGGAGAGGACTGTCTGGGCTTCTTTGCTGAGGCTGCTGCCCCCGCGACCCGGACCCGGATAAGCGGAGGACGACAAGTACGAGTACGAGACAAGACTTCTGTTTTCACAGGAAATGTACAGTTTGCATATAGTCTCTTTCAAAATAAAAGCACTACGTCGGTACAACACTGAATTTACGTTTTACCTTCAACAACACACACATGGTTACGTTTAGGGAAAAAAGATCAAGGCTTGACTCTGCACTCTTACAGGAAGTGAACACCGACCTCCTGGATGAAAGTTGGACCCATGAACCCTCCTCTCTGCCCTACTTGGACTTTTGCCCCCTTTTCTTACACTGTTGACCCGCAATGTTTCCCTCGATGCCACTGGGCGCCCTTTCACAAAAATGGTGACCAGTTGCGTATTATGCCAACATGAAACTTTTTTGTCGGTGTGTGACGCCAGGAGTCACTGACCGAGGTGGTATTTGACGACTTCAGAATGAGACCAGGGTTGTTTTTTAGGAACATGCATGTCATGGGCCTAAATTGAAGTCCACTGTACAAACAGTGACATGTGATGAGTTGGGAGCGAGAATATGTTGGTAATAAGTAAAAATAAGACTCAAAGTGCTCACTCAAAATGTAACCTGTAAGACAGGGCGCTGAATCCTCCATGTATTCAATAATAAAGTAAATATCAGGACAGCACTCCAGTTTGGATTTTTAATATTTACACACAGACGTTTTGGACAAGAAATCCTCTTCAGTGTGTATGATGACAATGTCACATGTCACATTTTATGAATTACTCTGCACAGACATTGTAACTTATTACTCTCAAATGGAAGTAACTAGTAATCTGTGATGTGTTGAACTGCCAGTGATCGATCCATCATCCGTCTTCTTCCTCCGTCAGTGACTCAAACTGCTGATAAACCTTCAGCAAAGCATTGACTCTGTCTTTAAAATATTATTTCCTGTTTTTTTTTCTTGTTGTGTATCCTGTCACAGCGAGTGGGCGGAGCCTGCCGTTGCTGCGTCGATGCCAGCTGTTGGTCGTCACTGATGTCGTCCTGCTGCCTGCAGGTCTGTCAGGGGAATAGTGTTCACCTGCTCACACACACACACACACACACACACACACACACACACACACACAGCTGAATGGTTATTAAATCTTTTATCTTTGCTCACAGATGTCTCCACAGCTACTTATTGTTTTTCGTTTAATGAATTCCTGCTCTGCTCACATTTGGTGTTTGTGTGTAAAATACTCTGAACGCCATCACATCACACGTCACCTGACTCACAGCTGCTCACACACACCACTCACGTTCGGACAGGAAGTGGAGTGAATCAAATTAAATCATGAAAATATTCTTGTCCTCAAGTTGATTCCTGGACAGTAGAACATTGTCACAGACAGTCGAGTTTACTCGTCGTCAGCAGAGTTCTGCTCAGTAGAATTAATTTGAGGAAACAGTCAATAATCATCAGCCTGCGACCAATCCCAACATAAGAATGATCTGAAACCTGATCAGATTTCTATGGTTGAAACTTGTTTATTAACTAAAGTTTGTAGTTTGATGTGGCAACAAATTTGCTCAGTTTTAGCAACATGAACAAGCTAATACGCTGGTAATTAGAAAGTACTCATCTGAGGACAGTGGGACCTTGTTATCGTCTTGTTTGAGGATATTGTGTCACAGTGGGCACTTGTTACCTGCCATCTCCTCAGCTCACTCAGTAATTTTCCACTCACCCCGCCTCGTCATCACACCTACCTGCCTGCCTATCACCTGTCACCTGTCACCTCATCAAGCTGACGGCCCTCACCTGTGGATTATCACCTCCTGACACTATAAAGACGCCCGCTTCACACACACTGATTGTTCTTCTTTGCCTCTGTGCAAGACTTTCCAGCGTTTGTTTCCGGACTGCATCCTTGGTATTGACCCTGCCTGTCCCTGATTCTCCTGTTTCGTCTGCTCCCCGGTGAAACAATCCGCCTTCTGTTGTCAAACAAGAGTTATGCTGCGCCTTCCTGGTTCGCCTGTATTCTGTAGCTGTCTGGAGAGACCATCACCCAGCTCTCCAAAGTGAGTTTACGGGTTCGGTTACCAGTGGTCGTGGATTGCTTCACTGTGTGGCTGCATATTCTTCCTTTCTGTGTGCACCGCAGATTCCACTTCTCACCGCCGACAAGCTCTTCTCCATCCATGGCCGGCTTCTCATCGGTGAGACTGTTTCTCTTTTGAGTACTCTGACATCACTCTATGCCTGCCCCCTCACCGTACCAATGCAGACACCGACTCCTCACCTGTGTTCGGCTCCGGCAGTCCACACCGAGAGCTGTGGACTGCCTCAGTTTGCCTGGAAGCTCTGAACCTGAACATCGACTCACTCTGTTGCTTTACCAGCCTGCTCTCCCTGTATTTGTTTAAGTGATGCATTAAAGCTCAGTATAAACTGTTCCACCTGTTCCTGGTGCTGCTTTTGGGTCCTAAACCCACCTGTTACACATTGGGACACTATTATTATTGTCTCTTTTGAGGACATCAGGACTTTGGGGTGAGGTGAGACAGACTGTTGCTAGAGACAGAAGGATGTTCCGAACTTGGAGTGTGGAGCAAATAAAATTCATCCAGAGTTACAAAACTAACAAATCATGAGGCTTTTAGACGCGTTACATTATTTGAAATTTAGTTTTTACACAGTCACGTTCAGGTGACTATTAAAAACAAACCCATCGTCCTCAACATCTTTTTTTATTTTATTCAAAAGCCACTCACTGTTCACAGACAGTGTTTAGTTTTTATACGTATCCTACTGATCCCAAGCAGCGAGGAGGGGGTAAAGGTTTTATTTTTGTTCTTCACGGTTGATTTGAAGGTGATTGTGCGGCTTTGTTTCAACACAGTCTGGATGTTTGTGTTCCTCTGAGGGCATCTTAGTCTTTTCATATGAACACCCTGTTGTGGTCATAATGTTCAGTAATATGTTGAATCTGTGGGAGTCTCTGTAATGAAGCAGTCAAACAGTTTCCCACTGTTACAGTCCCAACACTAATCACACCTCCGTGCTGCGAGCATCAACACACACTAACGTCTTCACTCTTTCATATTTCTGCACAAACAAACGCTTT